TAATATTTATTTTAAGAAGTTATTTTAGGCAGCTATTCCCAAAGGCAACAATTTGCCATGTGTAGCTGTCATTTACATATCACTCTGGGAAGCAGGACTTTTTGTTGATATCAAATTACTATTCTAAGTTCATTTTGCTCCTTTGTATTTCAAATTTTCTTGCAGATATGAGAAATGAGGCGATCACTGTCAGTGTTGGCTCCATCAGCAGCAGCAGAACTTTGCACATGGTTGGTTAGTGAGGGTGGTTTGACATGGTGTCATCAGGTATTTCAAAAAGAAAAGCAGTTCCACCCAATGATAATGGCTCTTATTTGTTGTAGTAGTTTCAGACCGTTCATGGAATTAAGGTAAAGTTTTGGAGCTTTCTTCCTCTATTAAAAGTGAAATGTCTGACTTTATTGCTAATTCTATTATAAATTCAGTTCAAAAGGTCACCATTAAAAATAAAAGAATTTCATCTGAGAGATGAAAATCAAAACAACAAGGAGATATCATCTCCTACCTGTCATCAACAAATGACTATCATCAACAAATCAACAAACGACAAGTGCTGGCAAGGATGTGGAGAAAAAGGAACCCCCATGCACTGCTAGTGGAAATGCAGGCTGGTGAAGCCACTATGAAAGACAGTATGGAGTTTCCTCAAAAAGTTTAAAATGGGACTCCCATTTGACTCAGTGATCCCACTTCTAGGACAATATCCCAAGAAATCAGAAACACTAATCAGAAAGGATATATGCACCCCTATGCTCATAGCAGTACAATTTACAATAGCTAAGATTTGGAAATAACCTAAGTGCCCATCAGCATATGAGTGGATTAAAAAACTGTAGGTACATCTACACAATGGAATACTACACCGCTATAAAAAAGAAGGAACTTTTACCATTTGCAACAGCATGGATGGAACTGGAGAGCATTATGCTAAGAGAAATAAGCCAGTCGGAGAAAGATAAATATCACATGATCTCACTCATATATGGGATATAATGATCAACATAAACTGATGAACAAAAATAGATCCAGAGACAAATGTCAGAGGAGGTGGAGGAGGGGGGTTAGAGATCAACCAAAGGATTCGTATGCATGCATATTAGCATAACCAATGGACATAGACACTGGGGTGGTGGGAGCTTGCCCTCAGGGGTGAGAATGGCTGTGTAGGGGGGATCAATCAGGGGAAAAAGGAGACATATGTAAAACTTTAGACAATAAAAAATAAAAATAAAAGGATTTGATTTTGCAAGGAAAATGTAAATACACTTTTTGAAGGAATACTGCACCATGGAAAAAATAATACACTTACTCTCAATATTGTTAAGAAGCCAAATGGTCTTGGCAATGATTTCTTGGATATGACACCAAAAGCAGAGGCAACAAAAGCAAAAAATAGACAAGTCGGGCTACATCAAACTAAAAAGCTCCTTTTAGTTTGCAGCAAAGAAAACAACCCTCAGAATGAAAAGGCAACCTACAGATTGGGAGAAAATATTTGCAAACCATAGTCTGATGAGGGATTAATATATCTAAAATATAAGGAACTCCTATAACTGAATAACAAAAAAAAATTTTATGGGCAAAGCATTAGTCTGTTCTCTATATCTATGAGTCTGTTTCAATTTTGTTTATTCTGTTCTTTAGATTCCACATATAAGTGAAATCATATAGAATTTGTCTTTATCTGACTTATTTCACTTATGTAATACTATCTAGGTCCATCCATACTGGGTGAAAAAAATGAAGGGATTAAAAAGTGCATATTGAGCCTGGCCCATGTGGCTCAGTGGTTGAGTGTCACCCTATAAACCAGGAGGTCATGGTTCAATTCCAGGTCAGGGCACATGTCAGGGTTGCAGGCTCAATCCCCAGTGTGGGGCATTCAGGAGGCAGACAAACAATGATTCTCTCTAATCATTGATGTTTTTATCTCTCTTTCTCTCTCCCTTCCTCTCTGAAATCAATAAAAACATATTTTTTAAAAAAGGGGTACAAATTGATAATTATAAAATAGCCAGGGGGATGTAAAGTACAGCATAGGGAATCTATAATAATAAAAGCATAATATGCTAATTAGACCCGATGTCCTTCCAGACAAAGCCACAGAGAGCGGGGATGAAGCAGAGGCAGCAGAGGCCCCTCGGTCATGGCAGCAGGTGGAGGCCAGGGCCAAGGCCCTTGCACGAATTTCATGCACTGGGCCTCTAGTATAGTCAATAGTGTTGTAATAACTATGTATGGTGCCAGGTGGGTACTTGAAATATCGACAGAACACTTTGTAAAGCATGTGATTGCCTAACCACTATGCTGTACACCTGAAACTAATACAAAATAATATTGAATGCAAATTGTAATTTTCAAAAAGACAAAGATTTAAAATAATCCATTTTTAAAAAATGGGCAAAGCACTTGAATAGACATTTTCTAGAAGATAGCATTCAAATGGTCAACAGGTACAAGAAAAGATGCACAACATCACTAATCAGGGAAATGCATCTCCTCTCTGGACCTCAACAAGTCCTTCCTGACCTGCCTCCCTGCTTCCCACTCTTGCCCCTTTTGCAAACCATTCTCCTTGCAGAAACTAGGATATCATTTAAAAACAGAAAGCCAGACTTATGGGTCCTCTGTGCTTAAAAATTCTCTAATGAGAGAATAAATTTCACTTTCTACTCTAACCTTCTAAGGCCCACATGATTGAGCTCCTGTTTGCTTCTCTATCCCATCTTCTGCCTCTCTGCCTCTCACTTGCTATACTCATCCAGGCTAACTTTTGGGAAATTCCTAGAACATATTAAGATCTTTGTCACCACAGGGACTTTGCACTAAAGCATTTCATTTGTCTGGATATCATTCCCTCAGATCCACATGTAGCCGGCTACCAGCTGCTCAGAGAGGGTTTTTCTAACCAGCCAATCCAATGCCACTCTCTGACACTTTACTCCATTTTATTTTTTTAAAATATAACCACTGAAAAGCATTGCTTCTTTTTAAAAAAAAAATTTTTTTTATTGAGTTTTAGAAAGAGAGGAAAGAAAAGGGGAGGAGAGAGAGAGAGTGAGAGAGAGAAACATCGATGTGAGAGAGAAACATTCAGCACACTTCCTAGTGGGGAATTGATTCTACATTCAAACTGGCAACCTTTCAGTGCACAGGATGATGCCAAACAACTGAGCCACATTGGCCAGAGAAGCATTGCTTCTCTAAATAGGTTTACTTTTGGGGGCTCTGTATTTTTCACTAGAATGTAAGTGCCACAAGAATAAGATTGCCAGATTTAGCAAATAAAAATACAAAGTACCCAGTTACATTCCAATTTCAGATAAACAAAGAATTTTTAGTATAAGTATGTCCCATGTAATATTTGAGATATACTTAATACTAAGAAAAATGTTTTCATTGCTTATCTGATATTCAGATTTAACTGGGCATCCTGTATTTTATCTGCAACCCTAACTAAGAGCTAAAACCTCGACTGTTTCGTCAACCTCAGCACATTCAGTGATGTCTGATATGTGACAAGCACCCAATTAAGTGTTGATGAAATAATATAATGATTGAATGAATGAAAGAAAATAAAGGTCTCAACTTCTACAATCCTCAACCTAAAAACTAGTTTTAGTTATTGTGATAGTTAATTTTATATGTGACCTTGAATGGGCTGAGGGATACCCGGATATCTGGTAAACCATTATTTGTGGGTGTGTCTGCAAGGGTGTTCCTGGATGAGATTAGCATTTGATTTAGTAAACTGAATAAAGAAGAAGGCCTTCTCCAATATGGGTGGGCATCACCCAATCCACTGAAGGCCAGAATAGAACAAAAAGGTGGAGGAAGGGTGAATTTGTTCTTTGTCTGTTGGAGCTGAGACATCCATCTTCTCCTGCCCTTGGACATGGACACTCCTGGTTCTTCAGGTTTTGGACTCAGACATGGACTTATACCATCAGACCCCTGACTCTCAGGCCTTCTGACTCTGAATTAAGCTGCTGGCTTTCTTGGTTCTCCAGCTTGCAGAAGGCAGATCGTGGGATTCTCAGCCTCCATAACTGCTGAGCCAATTCCTATAATAAATCTCTTCTTATGTATATCTATATATAGCCTATTGGTTCTGTTTCTCTGGAAAACTGTGACTAATACAGTTATCCAGACTGTAACCCAGTGCTTCTCCAACTTTAGCCTATACCAGAATCCCCTGGGTCTGTTCCAACACAGATTGCTGAGCCCGGGCTGCAGAGAACCTGATTCGGTGGGTCTGGCGTGGGGCCTGAGAGTGTGCATTTACATCACCTTCCCAGAGGAGGCTCAGGCTGCTGGTTCAGGGCCACACTTTGAGAACCACTGATCTAGCTCCCAGTTGATGTCTCTGCCTGCTTATCCAACAGCCAACCTTCATTTGGATTCAAATTTAAAGATACAGGAAAGAACATTGGAGTGTGTGGAAACAAAAAGTGGACTGGTTCTCACTCTGTAAAGCAGGATTCCCTTCTGCACCATGCCTGGCCTTTAGCTTTATTCAGCTGAATCAATGTTTTTTTAAAAAGAACAGCCTCTAGCCCTGGTTGGTTTGTCTCAGTGGAAAGAGCATCAACTTGAGGACTAAAGGGTCCTGGGTTTGATTCCGGTCAAAGGCACATGCCCCAGTTGTAGGCTCAATCCCCAATAGGAGGTGTGCAGGAGGCAGCCGATCAATGATTCTCTCTCATCATTGATGTTTCTGTCTCTCTCTCCCTCTCCCTTCCTCTGTGAAATCAATAAAAATATATTATTAAGAGAAAAAAAAAAGAACAACCCCTAGGCTAAGAAATCTTGTGGTACACAAGGATGTATTTTAGGACAGGTACACACCATGAGAAGAAACTCATAGGACAGAGTCTCCGTGCAGAAAGCAGAGGAGTCACGTGACAGACAGTGTTTTAAAAGCTGGCCAAACAGAAAGAAGTCCCATGAGGCACCATTTATACTTTCCAAATTAATTAAATTTATTTAATCAGTTGTTTCAAAGCTAGTTTTCTCTCCGGGATTGGTCGCCCATGACAACAGACCCGGAGGACAAAGGCATGGCTCTACCTAGTGGCAACATGAATTGTGTCTCAGTACAATTTATGGGTGCTTGGGGACTCCTGGGAACCTTCATTTCCATAAAATGATCCCTCCCTCCTATTCCTGAACAACATTAGCTATTTACCTTGGAGATATTTTCTCCCATTTTCTCATTTTCTCTTGGTCTCATGTGGCCATGATAATACCTTGTAATAAATTTTTGTGTGCTTACAATTCTTTAATTTTATTTTATGAGTTGAGAGACTGAATTGAGAAGCTACCTATGCTTCGGTGATGGAAATAATCATGCCTGCTTCTTAAGGGATTTTAGCCACAATGCCAGCTGCCTCCTCCCTTCCATTTTCCCAGTTTCCCAGGTTTTTAACCCTGAAGCCATTTCCCACCTCCACCCCTCCCATTTTACCAATTCTTCCCCTTTTTCTTTCCTTTCACTCCCACCCCACTGCCCTGGATCAGGTCCTTGCAGCTCTTCCCTGGGATTCCTACTTTCACTCTTTGCCAGTTCATCCTGTGTGTGTGTGTTTGTTCATTAATTCACTCAATGTCAACTATTGAGTACTCCTGACACGTCAAATCATGTTAAACACAATAAACAAACAGGGAATGAGATGATGTCTCTCTCTTCTTTTCAAAGCAGTTATCCGGTCATCTCATCCCTGAGAACCACCCTGATTGGTACATGACATGCCCTGAACTCCCCTGGTGTTTGAGTCTTACCTGAGTTTTCTCCTCCTGGGAAGCTCTCTGCATCTCGCTTTGTTGAAGTCCTTCTCCAACTTCAAGGTTCCCCAAATTGTCTCCTTCAAACTCTCTCCTTTCCTCTTCCCCACTGCATATCGTTGTCCCCTTTAACATAAAATGCATCATAGTAATTCATATTGATATTCATACTGATATACTATGGCTTCACATGGTATTTGTCATCTGGTAGTCCCCCAAGAAATAGTTCATCTAAGATTCATTTGTGTTGTAGGGGAGGCAGAAATTTATCTCTGTATGTCTTAGCTTTTCAGATGGACTCTTCATAAATGGGCGCAGCTCACACCACACAGGAGAAACCTCTAGGAAAAGGAACTCAAAACGGTGGCCTAGCATTCCAGCTCACATAGCATCTTCAATAAAGAATGATAGCCGAAACCGGTTTGGCTCAGTGGATAGAGCGTCGGCCTGTGGACTGAAAGGTCCCAGGTTCGATTCCGGTCAAGGGCATGTACCTGGGTTGCGGGCATATCCCCAGTAGGAGATGTGCAGGAGGCAGCTGATCAATGTTTCTCTCTCATCGATGTTTCTAACTCTCTATCTCTCTCCCTTCCTCTCTGTAAAAAATCAATAAAATATATCTTTTTAAAAAAGAATGATACATTTACAGGTATATGACAGGCCCAAGGGGTTTGGGCAAGGGGTAGTAAATTGTGGAGCAGAAACTAAGAAGATGAGGGTTAGTTTAACAATTTTTGTTTGTATAGAGTCTCAGCCCAATTCCCCATCTTTGGTGATAAGAATGTCTACCTTCTTCCTGGGACAGAGTTGGCACCTTTCACATGGGAGTTTTATCTCCGGGTTTCAGGAAGAAATAGAGGGTCAGAGCACCCTTCCTGTGCCTGCTGTTTCTCAAGTGCCTTTAACTTAACCTAACCAACTTGCCAAAGCAGCAAATTTGGGGGTGGCATGTTCTGAGCTCCTTCATAGTTGAAGGATTCAAAAGGGCATCATGGCCCTGGCCAAGTGGCTCAGTTGGTTGGAGTGTCGTCTCATACACTAAAGGGTTTTGAATTCAATTCCCAGGCAGGGCACATACCTAGGTTGTGGGTTCAATCCCTAGCCAGGATGCATAAATGAGGCAACCAATCGATGTTTCTTTCTCACATAGATTTTTTTCTCTCTCTCTCTTCATACCTCTCTTTCTAAAAGTCAATAAAAAACATATCCTCGGGTGAGGATTTAAAAAAAAAAGGGTATGTTGGATGATGGTATTGTAAACCACTCCAGGGTAGCATAAAAGTCATTAGTGTACAGTATGAGTCTCGAAAGAAAAAAGTACAGTGGGCACATCTTCATTAAAAATGGAATGATGATAACACCCCCCCCCCCTCCACTAAACAATTACATATGTCCTCTACCCTCACTTGGGAGAATTCAGTATGACAAATGGCACATAAACAGCATTATAGTCAATCATGTCACAAAATTGACTCAAGCCAAAAAATTCTGCAACTGACAATCTGTTGTCTTCTTATTTTTACTCTCCTTGGAGTCGTTCCAATGTTGCATTTTATCTTTTTATTTTTGCTTATTATAAAACCTCTATTAAAATAACATAAAAGGGGATTTTGAAAGAAAAGAAGAACCCTACTTCAATTTCAGCATATGAATATATGTGTTTTGATATTCTATATTCTCTTCCAAGCTCTGTTTCTCAGATGTTAGTATGTTTTTTTAAAAATACAATCTTAACCACAGGGCATGGACAATTTGTATTCTATTGTTTTCAATGAATATTATATTATCAGCATTCTCCTGTGGTGTTACATAATTATAACATTCACTTGCAGCATAAAATTCTACTAGATAATTTATATAGATGTTCTACAAATATTGAATAATTTATATGTCCCCTTTTTCACACCTATTCTTTTATAGAATTCCACTGCAAAAAAAATCTTTAAGCAAAAATATTTTAAAATTAACAAAATATTTCTTGAGATCAATTTCCAGGAGTGAGTGGAATTATTGTGTGAAAAAAAATGAATGTTTTTATGGTTCTTGATACCACCGTTGAAGAGCTGTCTTAGGAGATGTTACGAGTTTAAGTGGTAAATTTGTACAACACATTGTCAGGATGCCCCTTAACAACACAGGAAATGGTCCATTAAGCCAGAGTTCTCTTATAGGACTTTCTGAGGGACACACCCCGTATATGAACTGAGGAGTGTTACATTCATATCCACTTAGGATCTGCCAAACTACAGGTATGATTTATGCAAACCTATGACAAAGTGTTATCTGTTCCTAGGCAACTTCCAAAATACTGTATGGTTATTTTTTTCCTGAAAGATTGATGTTGCTGGATATATCTGTCTATATCTCCATTGTAACTGACCTGGGTCCAAAACACTGGAAAGGGAGGCACATGGACCCTAGACGGTTTAGCTCAGTGGATAGAGTGTCGGCCTACAGACCAAAGGGTCCCAGGTTCGATTCTGGTCAAGATATCTTCCCCGATCGATGTTTCTCTCTGTCTTTCCCTCTTTACTCCACTCTCCCTAAAAATCAATGGAAAAATATCCTCTGGTGAGGATTAACACACAAACACACACACACACACACACACACACACACACACACACACAGGGAGGCACATGAATGTAAGGAGGGGTGGATGTTGAAAGTGACAGAAACTCAAAGCCACTAGATTTTGTAAGATTGGCAAGAATTGGCAAGTATGTAACAAAGCACTGTGATTGCTTCATTTCTTAAATATTTTCCTTTAAAATCAGATTTGGCTCCAAAAGCATAAGGGTATTTAACTGACAGAACAATCTAATATTTTTGAATCTCCTTAGTGGGGGAAAAGAAAAACATTGTGCCTCTCCCTCTCTGTACATTTTTCACCCCACACATCCCACCCCACCCCACAAATCTGGTCTCTTGGGAAAGCAGCTTCTACTCTGTGCCGAGTTCTTTGTGATAAACATTCAGCGCTTTATCCCTCTTGCTACTTCATGGATATATGTGAAAGTGAAATCAACGATATATGTGAAGACTTTTCGAAAATTGGAAATAAAGTACTAGGGTTCAAGCATCAATATTTATTAGTATTAATTATCATTAACATTTCCAAAGCAGCAAAACAAAGGGAGGCAATATTGCCAAAAATAAGATACTGGAAAAATTGCTGATGTAGAGGTCAATTTAAGAATAAAGTTAAACATGATTCTGGATGGCTGGTCAAATATGGATCCAGTTGGTATTAAAGTGTTACATTTTAGATCAGTCCAAGTACACAGGCATTTTGGGCTTCCTGAGAAAATTCAAAATTTTAGTAAAGAATGATGAATACCTTTTTCTGGAAACCTTCTTTACTCATCTATAATAATAAAAGCATAATATGCAAATTGAACGAACAGCTGCCGGATGTCCTTCTGGATGACCTTCCAGGAGAAGGTGGGGCTGCAGCTGTGGGATCAAGGCAGCCACTGTGGCTGCGAGGAGGGATTGAGGCAGCCACCATGGCTGCAAAGGCTTACTCTTGCACAAATTTCGTGCATCGGGCCTCTAGTTTCAGGTAAGTATGTATGACATTTCAGCAGGTGCATGTTAACACATGGTTGAGACAGACATCCAGTCAATCACTGAGAGCCCACTAGTGGGTAAAATTTTGATATTCATCCAATAAATAGCCCTTGAACCCTTGCAATGCTCAGCTTGCTATGGTTGGCACTTCAGAGGATTAAATAAGAATACAACTCTCATTTCTACTTTTAAATATAACTTTTTTCTCACAAGGAAGGATTTGATGTTTAAATGATGTGGTGTATAAATTGCTTGTTGCTATATTGAGGGCTGAGGGAAACCTGATTGTGTCTAGAACTTGGAGTTGAATCAGCTGATGAATTAATGGTCATTACTGTTTTAAATCCCTATTTTCTAATTCTGAGATGCTCAAATAGGAATGCAGGGAACACTATAAACTGTCATTTGATTGTTTTATGTGATTTTTTGGAGCTTCTTTGAGGAACACCCTCTCTCACTTGTTTGTTATTCCCTAAAATATGGAGTTGCTTGGTTTCTTTGCTTTCAGACCCTCATCTCTTTCAAAATGATAAACGTCAACTAGTTGAGCTGAAAGTTATTGGCTATAATTGGCATTTGGTGTGACTCAGTTTTAGATTTGGTCTTAAGAGGCACTTTGTTTGGCAAAGAGCTTAAGACTCCAAATATGGGAGAGGGGCTCCAGTCACAGGTTCGGGACCTCCAAAGAAAACTCTGGCTCATAGCACCATTTGGTCTAGTGTCAGCACTGTAGACTCACCAACAACAAATCTTAAATAAACAGGTAAATCTGAAGTCTTCATGTAAAAATGTAAAACAACATGACATTCTATAAGATGACTACATAAAACGGAAGAGAGGACTGAATTTCCAGGAGAAGTATCTGGATAGTTAAGATGGAACTTTAACCATCCAGAATCAATCAGGCCTGGGAGAGACACAGGCAGCAGAAGAAAGAGCCCCCTGAGAAGTGTACTTACGTGCTCTCCTAGCTGCCCAGGGTACTGTTGATTGGGTGAGACTATTTGGTGGCAACCCAAGCCCTACATCACTTGAGTGTGTGGATTTTACCAGTCTGCCCCTTCTCGTGCATGCAAGAGAAAGTATAGATTGCCCAGTGACTTTTCATTCTCCAAACTTGCGTTTCTATAGAATAGTTGGGACTGAACATGCAGATTCTTGATCACCTCCCTCTCAGATGTGGTAACTCAGGTAGAATGTTCCTGCACATGTAAGCTGTGGTGGTTCTGCCTACCTCTGCTCAGGAGCAATGCCCAGCTTTCTTCCTGGGAGGATCTGTTCCAAAGCCCTTAACTTGCAAAGCCTTCTATTACAGCAACCTAAGGAATGATTATTAGGACTTACATCTTGTAAAACAGCCAAAACTCCCTAGAATTCTTTCTTGAGAAGGCCCCTATTATGTGGGGAAGTGCCAACTCCACCCTCGGGCCTGCTTCCTGCTTGGCAGTTTAGAAAGAAAGCAGCACAGTGAACTTTCCTTGCCCATTATTCACCTCTGAAAGGTAGTCAAAGGGAATGCCTTTCCTCCTATTATTCTATTGTTCCATTTTATG